GCATACGCTTGTGCTCAACACCTTCAAGAGCGTGCCACCGATATTTGTGTGTTGTCGTTTATGCAAGACACCGCTGCGAGGGCCAATGGTTGACGGCGAAGACGGGAGGAATTTTGCCGGAAAAAGAAAAGTTGATGCATGAGCTGCATGCCCGATCCACAGGCAGTCACAATGCATCTCTCACCTACTTTGCTCCTGCCCCTCTGGCATCAGCACCGTTTTATTTCGCAGGGCCTGATGCGAGTGGCCACGATGGCGCTGTCTGTGTGGTCGGGAGACTGGACACCTATGCAATTGCAAAGTATACAAGTCGCCGTTTGATGTATCTTTGTTGAAATATGCTACCTGTACGTAGATATCTGCCTTTTCATGTGCGGTATTTGATGACCACAGAGTCGCATGATGAACTGGCTTGAAGTGGTTGTCGCCCCACGGCATAATTCATGCGTTGTTGCTGGGCCAAAACCCGTCCAGTCACATGGAATACATTCTGCCCCCAACTGTGCGCATTAAAACTTAGTAATACAAGTAAGGAAATCCGATGGGATGTCCACGTTTGTTTGTTTCGAGCTTCTCAGATAGTGCTTCTTTCCCTGGCTGACGGCTACTGAAACCCATCTCAACATACCGACCGCCGAGCTCTGGCTTCCCCCAACTCAATGGAGGGTACCGCCCTCGGTCTTGGTGTAGCGGGGCTCACCTTTCAATTCTTTCATGTGGGGGAGATGGCCTACAAGATTCTCGGTGAGATCCGTGATGTGCCCAGGGATGCCGTGGACCATCAAGTATCATTTATTTTACAACGTCAAAGGTGAGCATCGGCCAGTCGCATACATCCCGGCTGGGTGTATGTTATTTCTCTATATCTGAGCTGCATTGCTAACATCATCTAGGTATGAGAGCTGGGCTCAGGCTGTGGGATTAGACGCAGATCACCCAACTCAGTTTGATGACACTCATCGTGACCATCTTACTGTTATTGCTACAGCCATCGACATCCTCACCCATGTTTGCGATTTGCTCACTGATGTCAAGCCACTTGTCAAAATTCACGGCCTGAGACCGCTTACAAAAGGTCGCCTTGATGAAGATTTCTCGGATCTCCAACGGGTGGAGCATGCCAACAGCGTCTCTATTTGGGATCTAAACGCAGGACAGGATGAGAAAGACAGGAGACCAAACAATCTTATGGTGGTACAGCAGCAACTGAGCTGGATGAGAAGGATTAGATGGGGCTTACGTGACAAGAGTCAATTCGCCACGCTGGTCAAGAAGCTGAGCGTCCTCAATGACGGTCTTCGTGACATCCTCCCGTCATGGGCACGCAACACATATGACCGATACCTCCTGATTAACCAGCCTGCGGATATGAATGGTCTGGACATGATGGCCAAAGACAACACAATCACGGCTCGTTACGCAACGCCGGCTTATGCTCTTGCTGCGAACATTAAAAAATCTGTTGCGGAGCAGTTACGGCCACCGGCCTCAAGGGCTCCGTTGTCAACAAAGCCTGCCCACCGGATTAATCCGGTTTCAATTACCCTCCCTTCGTCAGACGAGGAGCCCTCGACGTCAAGGGTCGTAGCAATGGCAGGCGATGATAAAGTTGTCATCGAATTTAAGGATTTCCGACAAACGGATCTGCAAGCTGCCCGAAGACGAGAGAATCGGATCAAGGCCCTGGTGGCATTACTCCAGATCAAGCCCAAGCCTTCGAGCTACCGAATACTCGATTGCCGCGGCTACATCACACGATCGACGAAGCATTCTCATGGCTATGGGATGGTTTTCGACTTCCCCAAAAATCTCAAGGACGACGGGAATGCCAAGTACGACACTTTGGAGAGCATGCTAGCCAAACCAGGGGAAGAAGAGTCGTCCATAACGTTTTCGCTGGACTCTCGTTTCCGCCTGGCTGCCATACTTGCAGCCTCAGTTGCTGAACTTCACGCTGCTGATTGGCTTCATTATAACATCACATCCTCCAATATACTATGCTTCTCCGCAGATGAAACTCGAAGTCTTGGATCAGCCTACTTGTCCGGGTTCGAATTTGACGGCTATGACGACCCGAAGAAAATTTCTGAACCTGCTTTGCATAACACGTATCGGCATCCAAACTACCAACTCCCATTGCGAAGCCAGACTAAGTATGAACGGTCGTATGACATATACAGCGTCGGTATTGTTCTCATTGAGATTTTCCTCTGGAAGCAAATCGGATGCTTCCGGGAAGAAGACATGGATGCCAATGCTTTTCGGCTTCACCTGCAAGAGAAGGTGGTGCCCACGATAGGTTTCTACATGGGTAAGGAGTACGAGCAGGTGGTGCAATTTTGTCTTGATACGGAGCTCCTTGGGATAGGGTCAGATGAAGGAAAGAGTTTAACAGAGGCATTTTCACGAAAAGTTGTGGCGGTCCTCGAGCGATGGTAAAGTTCAGTTGTATTTGTATATTTATGTAAGACTTTATATTGGAATGGCATAATAGTATCCACTGGATACAGTGACTGATTTTTAGTTTTACTAATCAGCTAGAATTGTTGCGTTATCTTAAGCTGATATTCATTGAGTATTAACTCTAAGAATTCGACTAACACCGTAGCTAGATATTTAGAATGGTTCACTTCCTCTATTAAGAAATCTACTACAATATCGGAATATAGCACTACTTTTTTGGCGGATACAATAGCTTAAGATACTAGGTAAGTAATATGTCCTAAACATAGAGCAGTCATAAGGAGGAATCTTATCCCATCGAGGATACTTCGAGGCCCATTCTTGCTTAGACATTGACTTCTTTTCCATCTCGATTGAAAAATATTGGTAAATTAAATGTTTGCCTTTGGAAATAGACGATGCTAGGGTTTGAATTCAAATTTAGGCAGAATAAAAGTAGTACTCGGCGGAGGGTTCTTGGAGCTTTTGCTCTCAGCGGTCGTGGAGGGTTTGGTCGGGTCAGCTGGCATAGTAGATGAGGCTATTGTGTTAGAGGACTTAAAATACTCCTTCTTTGATTGAAGTATGTTGTCTGATCATAAAGTAGTGATCTTAGGAGACTAGAGAGAATAAACCCCAGACCATATGTGATGAAGGGGGAGAAATACCGATAAAAAAATAGGGTGCGTAGGAAGCGAGTCACAGGGATTGGAATTGAACTTTGTCTAGAGGTTACCCAACGTGGAGAAATGCTGAGCCGGGCCCTCTAATGCTGCTCTCTTAGTGATTGATAGTGAACCAGCCCGCAGTAGACCCTCTTTCTACTCGGTAGTATCGAATATACAAGCCTAGCAACTAAATAACACGAACTGGGTGAGAATGGAATCGGCACACTTAAGCACTTCTCTGCATATTTTCGAGTCCGTGCCTAGTATTATTATATTATTTAGAGCTAATAATAAACATTCAAGACAAACTGGAAGGGACATGAGTCAGACGCAAACAGTCGCATTGCATGTGACTCTGTGGCAACCTTAACTTGAACGTCTAGTGATAGCATTCTTCTAAAAACAATACAGACTCTAAGCAAGCTACTTGCTTTTATCGGCTTCCATCATCTTCATGAAAACCTAATGGGCTGAGTTAGTAAGAATATTTCATGTTAATTAGTAGCTGGTTGAAGCGGGCGTACATCAGGGTTGATTTCGACGCCAGCGTTTTGCATCTCCTCTGTCAGCTACATTGTTCATTAGGACACTACCCCAAAAGAATATCTAGCAGCCGTATATCGGAGGTTGAACCTACCTTTTGTGCTGCCTCCCTGAACTCCTTGTCCATCATGAGCTTGAGCATGTCCATCTTACTGGGCATCTTACCAGGCTGGAAGCCTATTTATTTACTGTTAGATTATCGGTAGGACTTATTAGTTGATAGATGCGGGAATTTGGATGGAATGACCTTTGTTCTGGATAATCTGGCTTATGTTTTGCATTGCCAGTATGGCGCCAGGGTGCCGAGCGAGCTTCTCAAATGTGTCCCGAAGTTTGGGGTCACGATACATCATTTCTGCCATGTTTGGGGGGCCGGTAGAGGCATGTCGACGGGAAGTAGCCTGCAGCTGTCGCGCTGCGACGCGGATGAAAGGTTGCGAAATGATTCTTCGTGTAGCAAACATCATTGTGATTGAATTCACTTCAGCAATGTCATGAGCTCGTTTTACAGTGGTGGCGATATGGGGAAAGACGGCTTTTTGTCGGTACCGCCAGCAAGTGGGGATGGGATTATCACTGAAACGGGGGAGATGTGTCAGCAAGTTCGGCCGCAGGCATATGATACTTGGGTGGTGATGATGCTGTCATGGTGGTGCTACTAGCCTCGGGCTGTATCAAGTTAAAGAGGACATGCCTAAGTCATCACGATCATTTATTATTCCTGGCTAGTTAGTCTCGTTTTTGGCCCAAATCGTCTAGGTCAATGGAAGACGAGATGGTCACGTGAGCTTGATCGTATCTCACTTTGCTCACCTAAGAGCGACGAATTAACATATCGCAGCAATTGAAAATGAAAAGGGTTATAGAATATGAAATCACCAATTTAGCATCGCATGGCTTAAATTTTCATCGATTTTTTTTTGATTTTTTTTACTAAAGAAGCTATGTCCTTCACGAGGGTACTTTCCTTTATCTACTAACGCCGGAGACACGAATTGATAGAGCAAAGGAGCATACTAACGTCAAATTCGCGACCTTTAGATAATCCAATCTGGGAGTGGATCAAACAAGCAATACATGGGACCGACACTCTAACCATAATCAAGGCGATGGGGATGCCGGGATTCAGAAGGGTCCACTGAGGCATCGATAGAGGGCCGTTCTTGGCGTAAGACTGTAGGCATCACTTTTTTTTCTTGGCTTGCATAGCCACCGCCTCTACTGACCAACTGATGTGTGATTATAGCCCCTTGGATCACAAAGCAGCTTGAGTGATTTTGTAAAACCTAGATCGGTCACCTACGTTTGTTTGTCTTGTGATTGAATGCTTCAGGTCTTTCAACGACGATGAGTGATACTGAGTGTGAGCCACTGGAGGGCAATGCCGACTTCTACGGCCTCGGTATTAGGATTGGATTTTATTTACAGTGGATTACCACTTATTTGAATTTTCTGTTCAAGCTGGAGCCCGCATGTATGCTCTACACGACAAACTCGGTGTTTGTGTTTGCGCTTGCAATAGCACTGGTTGTGGCCTACGTCGAGGGCAGCCCGCCAATTGAGATTCACCTCATGCTGCACATTTCATTGGGTTTCTTCATGACAAGCCTGAGCACCATGCGTATTCGGCACTGGTTTCAAGATCCTCGCCTTATCGATGAGTTTGTTGGGCGATTGGCTGGCATGTGGCAACGAGTGAGAAGCATGGAACGGTCACGGAACTGACCTAGGGTTATGCTAACCATCATCTCTTCTGGCATCGTCGCCTTCCCTATTACGATTTTTTCTCCCCTTAAGTATCCAGGGCTCTCGTGGAGTGGCGTCCTTTAGAATTCATCAACCCTCACTATTATCGCCTGGGTCAACATATATTTTTGGTTTGGTGGTGATGCAACCGGTTCCGTCCAGATCGCCGACGGGTGTGACCGAGCTCCATTCGTCTTCCTTTTCTCCAAGCAGGCTCTTGAAGGACCGATAGTTATACTCTGCAAGATATGTGCAGTGATACTATTGGTGATTGCAAATTTGATCGCAGTCATTCTTGTGGCCTTATCAATGCAGATCATTCTTTGCACGTTAATACCACAGCTACATGTGTATGGCCCAGCCCGAGAAATCTTAAATCAGTCCTATTATAGTACAGGGAGAGCAAAGATGCATTTTTCGGATATGTTTGGGCTTTATTATCACTTGGAACCGGCCAGATGCTAAGCGAACGGGCTCAGGACAACGGGGGTTTCAGCTTGATGCCAGGCTGGAGTAAAGCCAAGTAAGTGAACTGTCTTTATCTATTCGGTCATCAAGGGATAGAGGTCTAATTACCCCCTGAGGGAAGGTAGGCCTTGGAAGCGAAGTCTCTGTATCATGCTGCACGTCTATTTCGCTTTCGTCATTGCCTGGCTCATTGTCGATATCGAATGCACGATCCGGTGGAACAATATAACAAACGTGGATACCGTGAATACAACCGGGCAGTTAATCCCCCTTGTCGTGGGCTGTATAAGTGCTGCCGACACTTTTAAGAGTCTGATGCTAGTGCTACTTGGCAATGTAAGTTTTAAAGAGCGTGTTCATATATAGTCTATCATGATACTCACAGTCCTTTTGAAAGAAATACCCGAGCTGGAAGCACACCACTCTAGAGGTGGAAAATAGATACATCATCGGCCCTGCAAGCTTTCGCATTACGAAGAGGGATGAAACGACAAGCAGAATTGAAGAGTTTCCAGTTCTGATTCAAGGCGTTAACAACTGGCCATCTGAGGCTAGCGACTTTAACAGCTCACCGTACGACGTTGAAGGAAGATGAGCATTTTTCACAGCTAGTTTGTTGGCCAGCCTTGCTTGAGTCAATAATAGAGGTTTAAACGAACAAGCAGGTGATTTCACACGTAACCATAGAGATGAGAATTCCGCTGCAACCATGATAGCTGTATTAAGGTTCATGTTAGTAATGCCACAAATGCTAAGGCTGTGGAGTATAGAAACGGCAATCTGGCTTGGAGGCAAAGATTCACTGGGGATCTATGTTGAGCTTATAATAACGATAGACGAGCTCCAAACTAAAAGCAGCATAGTTGACCGCCATACTAAGCAGCGCAGATCATCTGCTCTGGGCTGCGCGACAGGCGGTAATACGGAGCTCACCGTGTGGTTAGCTAACAAGTGAGGAGGCGAATCAGGCGATGCACTCTCAACCTCGCCGTGTTTCCTCTTTGGGAGGATGTCCGAGGGACTGGACCCGAAGGGGAAGCATGATCTTTGTCTGGATTCTCGATCTGGAATACCTACAGTGCCAGAGGGCTAGAGCAGCGGATCAGCATGCGTAGAGCCAACAGTGCATGCTACTAGACAGGGGTTTGGGAGGCAGAGGGATGGCCAGGTGCGGCGGGAGCAAAAGCCTAACAAAAGAAAAGGGGAGGGGAGAAAGGTGGTTAAGAATAGGCATAAACATGTTAGAGTTCGTCTTTCATGCCCTAACACAAGGCCAGGTGGAAATTGGCAAACGGACCCCGTAGTCGGTCAGCCGGAGGGAGAGAAAGACGACAAGACAGAACAGAAAATGGGGTTAGTTGGACCCTATTGGAATGACTCTAAGCCTAACTAAGCATTAAGGGCCGATGTACGCATTGAGAGTGATGCACAGGAAAACAGTCGACGACATTCTAGATTTAGGTCGTAGAGATAATTAGGGGCATCGCCTCATTCGAGCTAGTGAATACATGACCGAGGCTCGTTGTCTAGCCGAGCTGAAAACTATTATGAGGTAAGGGAAGCAAGCTCAAGCGGTGGCCCTTGAGTGAGAGAAAAATTCTATTGTATTACGTCTTGTTGACTAGATGAGGGGTGGCCAATTCCACGGCTTGCTGGTCAAACAGGTGCTGATGGGGAGTGTTATTAGAGCACTGTGAGCGTACGACAAGGACAATTTGAACTGTATGGAGAATTGTGCGTCTTGTAAGCAAATGGCCGCAACGTGTGGGCTGGTGGGATGCGGGAAGATATAACAGTGGGGTTTGACTCGTGGTGAAGCAGGTGGTGAGAATCATGGGAGAGTGTAAGGAGAAGACAGGGGTGGAGGGGTGTCGCTCGCCGCCCGCTGATTGGCGCAGAATACGAAGAAAAACTGGTAGTGGAGTGTTGTTAGGCTCAGGCACAAGGCACCTGAAAAGTGCCGGAGCAGCCACCAGAGGTTCGGCAAGAGATCTATGAGCGGGCGAAGGCTGCTCTAGGTCAGGCCATGACCCAAAAGGGACGAGGGCTCCGGCATGCCTTTGCCGCAGGGCTCCAACGCTCATGGTGTTTGCACGCAGCTGTCCAGGGGCTCGTTCCAGACGCCTCCAACCGCCTCGCACGACCAAACAGTAGTGTTCTGGACTATTGCGCACCTGAAAAGCCACTCGTTTTTTCCTCTTCTCCTGCACCTCCACCGCCGCGCTTACGCTTTTTCCCGCTCTATCGAGTCCGTCGCCTGAGGCCGCGCGTGCATGCCGGCGAGCATGACGAGACGGGGACGCTGATGGAGAGCCAGCAGACAGAGCCAACAGACACAACCTCCATCGATTGCCATCTGTAAAGCCGTTGGCCTCGTCGTCCGGTCTCTCATAAGAGCGAACACAGCGTTTGTTTGTTCGGAATCTTGACTACGGCTAGCTCGGTGGAGCGTTGTTGCCGGACGATGAAGGGCGAATGAACCCTAAATTTAAGCATCCTGACCTCTGGCTTGGGTAAATTATGTGGTTTATTCTTCGGGGTGGATGCTATCCCATGCGTTTCCCCTTGCTATAAGGCATTTCGCGTTAACCTGTTGCTGTACCACTGCATTCCTCCTCTTGACGGGAGATAGAGGCCAGGTAGCCATCACCTGCCTCAGCAGCAGACTGGCAAGCCGTTCTATGTGTGTGGCCTGGGCTCGCATCACTCGCCAAGAGATGTCCCCGCGAGGACGTGCCGGCACCCTGGTCGATGGATCGGGCCTGGAGTTCTGCCCTGGGGCTCCAGACAGACCAGACTGCAGAAAGGACGCCGCCTAGGCGGTTCCTGGGAGATCGGACGGGTCCCTGGACCGGCCGCCACAGCAATAGATGAACCGCTAGCGCCGCTTAGCTGGACTTCTAGCCTGTCCCTGGTGCCTTGGACTAACGATGTCCGATCGCGTGGCTCCCGAACCGTCTTGGATCCACGCTTCCTCTTCAGCTTCACAATAGCGGCTGCCAGCTCACAACGGCTGGAACAGCCCAGATCCAAGGCCGCACGCCGGTCGAGCCTCTTTACGTTGCCTACAAGATGCCTGTCTCCCCGACTCGGACGTTTGTGGTCTTGCCATTTGATCCCAAGCTCGCAATCAACAGCCTCACAGCGGCCCGAACAAGACCAATCCTCACCTTTGGAACTGCAACCTGACCGGTCGAGGTCAAGCGGGCTTTTCACCATGTTGCAACCATGCCTCTCGCTACTTGTTTTCTTCGCATTCGCTCGCTTTGCCATTGCTTCTGCCGATGAGACCGTGACCCTCGAGGCCCGTGCCGGTCCTACCACCACCATCACGTATGCCTGGACCGGTTGCACGACCACTACCCAGATCCGCGGCTCAAGGCCAACTACTCTCGCTGTATACACTCCCAGAACCCAGTGTGTTCCCGTCACTTCCACCATTACTCAGAAATGGACTGGCTGCACCACCACCACCGTGACCCGTCCCATCAACACCTGGACGACGACCGAGGTTGTCTATGTCCCCAGGACCACCTGCACTCCCACCACCACAACCGTCAAGCAGGCGTGGACTAGCTGCACCTCGTCGACTTCTACCCGAACTGCCAATGCTTGGACCACAACCGAGATTGTCTACACGCCAAGGACTGTGTGTCCAACGCCGACCACCACCACAGTTCGCTCCGCCTGGACCAGCTGTACCAGCAGCACCACACTCCGTAGTGCCAACACCATCACTACCACGCAGGTGATATACACCCCCAGGACCGTCTGCCCGACCACGACTACGACCGTCACTGTCCCCTACGCCTCCTGTACGACATCGACGTCCACCACCACCGTCCCCAATGGCCCCAAGACCGTCTACCTCTACTCGCCCAGGACGGTCTGTCCCGCCACCACCACGACCAAGCCGTCCACCACCTCGAGCGTGGCGGCCACCACCAGCGCACCAGCGAGCACGGCCAGCAACCCCAGCACCACCTCCGCTGCCCAGTCTACTTCGTCGAGCGCTGTTCAGTCTAGCTCCTCGTCCAGCGCTGCTCAGTCAACTTCTTCCACTGCGGCTCAGTCGACATCATCTACTGCTGCCCAATCGACCTCCTCTACCGCAGCTCAGTCAACTTCTTCTACTGCTGTCCAGTCAACATCATCGACTGCTGCTCAGTCGACCTCTACAGTTGCTCAATCCACTTCGTCCACTGCTGCTCAGTCTACGTCTTCTGCTGCCCAGTCAACTTCTTCCACTGCCGCTGCATCTACGTCGCCTTCTTCTAGCGCCGCCGCCTCGAGCACCGCTGCTTCTGAGAACCTAGCTACTACCACACCTGCTGCCTCTACCACAGCTTCTAGTACTGCTTCAAGCAGCGACGTCTCCAGTACTTCTGCTTCCAGCACTGATGTATCCAGCACGGCCTCAAGCACCGATGTTTCTAGCACACCTTCAACTACCGCTGTTTCAAGTACTCCCTCAAGCACCGAAATCTCTAGCACGTCTGCTTCCAGTACACCTTCAAGCAGCGACGTCTCAAGCACTTCTGTCTCAAGTACCGCTTCCAGCACCGACGTTTCTAGCACCCCTGCCTCTAGTAGTGTTTCCAGTACTGCTTCAAGCACCGATGTCTCTACTACACCTTCGAGCACCGATGTTTCTAGCACTGCCTCAACCAGTTCTGCCTTGAGTACCAGTGTCTCTAGTACTGCTTTAAGCACCACTTCCTCCGAGAATCTAGCTGCTTCTAGCACCCCAGCTTCTACCCCGGATCTTTCAAGCACAGCTTCAAGCGCGGCTGTTTCTAGCACTCCGTCTTCTACATCGGACGTCTCAAGCACTAATGCCCCCAGTACCCCTGGTTCTACTTCAGATGGCTTAAGCACTTCTACTCCGGGCACGGATATTACTAGCACGCCTTCTAGCACTGATATCTCTAGTACCACATTAAGCACTACTTCTTCAGAGAACCTAGCTGCTTCCAGCACTCCAGCTTCTACTCCAGATATTTCAAGCACAGCTTTAAACACCGATGCCTCCAGCACGCCTGTTTCTACTACAGATGTCTCTAGCAGCACTCCGGCTTCGACTACGGATGTCTCTAGCACTCCAGCCTCTACTTCAGACGTCTCAAGCACCTCTACTCCTGGCACCGATGTCTCTAGCACTCCAGCTTCTACTTCAGATATCTCGAGCACTCCCGCCTCTATAGATATCTCGAGCACTCCTGCTTCTACTACAGATGTCTTAAGCACTTCTGCTTCCAGCTCTGATGTCTCCAGCACTCCCGCATCTTCAGCTGCCTCTAGCACTCCTGCTGCTATAGACAACTCTAGTACTCCCGCCTCTACAGATGTCTCTAGTACCCCTGCGTCTAGCGCTCCTGCTTCTACTTCAGACATCTCAAGCACTCCTGTTTCGATAGATGCCTCGAGCACCCCGGTTTCTACTACAGGCGTCTCTAGTACTCCTGCTTCTACTTCAGATAACTCAAGTACTCCCGCATCTTCAGCTGCCTCTAGTACTCCTGCCTCTACTTCAGACAACTCAAGCACTCCTGTTTCGTCGGATGCCTCTAGCACCCCGGGTTCTACAACAGATGCCTCTAGCACTCCTGTTTCTACAGAAGTCTCTAGCACCCCGGTCTCTACTACAGATGCCTCGAGCACTCCTGCTTCTAGTACCGGCATTTTCAGCACTCCCGCTTCCGAGACACCCGTCACGTCTATCTCGACTGATAGTGCAGTTGCCACGCCCTCAGTCACTCCTCTGTCTACTACCGAGGACTACTGCGAGCCCACTTCTACTCCCAGCTCTACCTCCTCCTCTTCGATAACTCCTGGCGCAGATGGAACCACCACATTCACCTATACATGGGGTGGTTGCACTGCCGCCTCTGCGGTGAAGAGTTCGACTGTATTCCTCTACACACCAAGGTCGGCTTGTGCCGATACCACAACTCCATCGACAGCCGCAGCTACTGGCTCTAGCTCAGAAACAGTTTCATTCGCTGCCTTGGCTGTGGGCACGACCTCTAGCTCGGCTTCCGAAACTGTCGCCAGCACAATCTCAAGCTCGGAGACGGTCGCTAGCACTACCTCACCCAGCTCGCCCTCTGAGCCTGTTGCTAGCACTACCTTGCCTAGTTCGTCCTCTCAGCCTGCTGCCACCACCACCTCGCCTAGCTCGTCCTCTGAGCCTGCTGCCGCCACCACCTCGTCCAGTTCTTCTTCAAGCTCCAGTGCTGCTAGCACCACTTCATCCAGCTCGTCGTCCAGCTCTTCTTTCTCAAGCTCCACTCTTGTTGCTAGCACAACCCCTCTTAGCTCTTCCTTGAGCTCTACTGCTGCCAGCACCAGCTCGTCCTCTAGCTCAACTTCTGCCATTCTCAGTACTACAACCAGCTCCTCTGCCAGCTCAACTTCTGCTATTCTCAGTACTACCTCAACTAGCTCCTCTGCCAGCTCCACTACAGCCGCTCTCACGACATCTAGTGGGGCGTCGACTACTGCTGCTCCCAGCACGACCTCTAGCTCGTCATCTACCAGCACTCAGTCATACCTGCCATTAACCACAGGATCATACTGCTCTACTATCAGGACTGGCTGCAAGGCGCTTGGTTGGGACATGGACATCTATGCCAACACCTTCTACACCGGTTATGGCTACACCGGTACTGGTGCTAAGTCTGACTACTACTATATTTCCGAGAAGCTCACTCCCCAGGGCTCAACTTACACAAATACCACCAACTTTGCGAGCACCGCGTCTGGCGCATACACTACAATCAGTGGCCAGAGATACTACACGAGCTGGAGCGCCAGCATTGGCGGTATAAACGTCAACCTCAACAATTTCACCGCTGTTTGGAGCGGCCTCTATAAGGCTACCACGACTGGTAACGTCGCGGTTGCAATTACCGCCGTGGATGACACCGCTTCCGTTTACTGGGGCCATGCCTACGCCTATGACTGCAAGACGGGTCTTCCAACCGCTTCCACGGCGGGCAGGATGTTGGCCGCTGCTGGTAGTTTCACCAAGGCGGTGGTTGCAGGTCAATATTACCCAATCCGTGTTGTATTTGGAAAGGCTTCGGGCACTACCGCGAAACTCACCCTCACCGTGGCTGGGCAAGCTACTTCAAGCACCAATCCCATCTACCCCCCTGAATGCGCTATGCCGGCATGATCTATTGAAACTCGATTTCTGTTTTCCCTATTCATAACCAAATTTTTCAATAATAGACTGAGATAATCAGGATAGAATAATGTTCATTAATTAATTTAAAACATGGTCCAATTGTCTGAATGTTTCTCCATTATGTTGAAAATATGCTAACTCCGTCAGCTTCACTATAGTGGCGGCTCTCGGAACAATACACACTTGGAAGTAGTGTCTCTCCTGAACATTTGACTACCTAGATAAAAGCAATATAACCGCTATGTAGATGGGCTTAGTTAATATACCTTAACTTCACGGTACCGCCACCAAGTTCACTTAACGTGTTCGCCACTATGTTCTGGTTTCATCCCTAGGCTCGATGTATAGGAAGATGGACCATAATGCACCTCCCTTTAATACTAAACAATTAATATACCAGCTCTCCCGCCAGTAACAATCTACGTTTTGTTAAAAAGACCTAAGTATCTATGTTTAAAGAACTTAACTAAGAGTCACAGTCCAACTCGCGGTAGGGAGCACCCGATTAAGCCTAAATTCTATGTGAGCAGACTGCATGACGCTAACCTTCAAACAGCCTGTATTTCTGCAGAATGACTGGGGTTATACCCGATTCCAGAGTGCCTGACAAGTCCCTGGGCGGACTTTGGAGTCTGCTAAGTCCGGTCTTAGCTCCGGTTTTCCTACTCATATGAGAAGGGCGTATTTCACCTAACCTTGAATGGTTTGTCAATATCGTAAAACCGGGCTATTTCCTAAATCTACTGGCTTCATTGGCCTGTATAGACCCTCGGAAACATGAAAAATGATCTCACATCCCGTAACCAGAGGGTTGGTTTCACTCTCTCCAATGCAGCAGCTGGTCGAGGTATGCTTATCATCTTGTTGTGGGAATAATTCTGGCCATGCAGCTCACTATTTTAGGCGAATGATACAGATGATAATTGGACAGGCCTTTCAGATGCAGCTGCTCGACGCAAAAGGCAGACAAGGCTAAACATGAGAGCGCATCGTACGTCCTGACAAACCCTGGAGGCAATGTCCTTTTGACTTCTACGCTGACACTCTTCAGGGCGCCGAAAAGCACTTGAAGGAGCTAAAATATCCCAACAAGAAGGTCTTGTAGCTTGCTGGGACGATCGACGCCAAAAAGTCCTCTATCTACCAGAGTCCCAAGCCAAGGCGCTGAATTACGATCACAAGTCGCCAGTGATAAGACAAAATTCCGCCGGAATCATCTTTCCTCTGTCGTCTGACCATCTAATAACATTGATTCAATTCAACGTCATGCGTGCTGTGATCGTCAATAAACGACTACTCTCAGCTCTGGAACCCGATGGAACATCTTATAACTACACGCCTGGCGTAGTGCGAGTCCTCCCCGCATTGGCTGACATTCAAGGACTGCCCGCAAGTTTACACCCTACCAAAACCCAATCAATGATTCCGCATGGTCGTTGGATTGATACCTTCCCACACCCAACATGGAGGGACAATTTCATACACGCCCAAGGCAGATTTGATGAGTACGACCTGTGTTCTGATACCTTAGGAGGTCTGTTCCAGGGAGAACTTGCCGCGGAGTGCGAGCGGCGTGGCATCATTGTTTGGTCGCCTCCCTGGGACTTCAATGGTTGGGAGCTATCAGAAGGATTTGTGAGGAAATGGGGATGGTCCATCAAGGGCTGCAGCGACATTCTTGAGGCTACCAACAAGTGGCGCTCGCTGAGAGGAGAGAGGCCCTTACATTTTGAATGTTGACGCCTTTCATTCGAAGTGAGACTCGACGTCACTAACATATTTATATCTCTATTCTCCTCCCCACAAGGTTGCGTACATATAGTGTCATTGTTAATACATTCTTACTCATAGCAGATAATGTATAATTAGGTCTGGCTAGGCATCTCGTTTCTGCTGGAGGCGAGGAAAATAGCTGCTTGCTATGTTGTTGGTCACATATGTATGCATGCCGCGCGGCGCAAGTGGAGCGCGGCGTTGAGATTCATGCTAACATCAATTCAGTACATTGGAAACTTGATTTATGAACTTCGGACAATATATAGCTAATGATGGTTTAGTTTATGTCTAGAAGACTGGTCTGACCCAAAGACTCATCACCTTGAGGGTTGTACTTTGAGCTATTTGCCACTACCCAACCTTTGCCTGACTAGCGGTGCAATCCAAACATTTAATGTTTGTTAAACGAATATCGTGTCTCTCTCATGCAAACAACTGATAAAACAGCGTAGCTCTCACCCTTTTTACCTCCGCGTATTTACCTGAGTCGTGGGAACTTTTCTCGGATTTACGGTGGACTGTTACAGACAAGGTTTGGGCTTGTTTGTAGAATACGAGCTATGGGAATTGTTGTTAATCTATTGGTTTCCCTATTTCCGCAGGTCGATTGATGAAACTCATGAAATTTGTTCAATATCCTTCCATCTTAAGGTTAGACGTCGACGAATATCTGCCATGGAATCGCAAGATAATGACCTACCATGGGTGATATTGTAGCGTTTTCTCTGAAAGCAACGACCAGCAATCAGCGGTAAGTTCTTGATTCTTTTCATGGTTTATTGTCGTCGGGCCGCGTATTGAACGTCGGCTGATGGGTTTCATAATCCCAACGGAAGTGCCGGTTTTAGTAGTCGGAAGAGACATTCCGGTTTCATGACCGCAAGATTGACGACAAGGGCCCTCACTCGCTGATCAGCCCTAATTTGAACCATTGAGATTTGAGGCTACAATTTCTGCGGCATGACACTGACGCGCGCCGCCATTCGGATCCACATACGTGTTTCATTATGAGCGATGACACGAGAATGCAGATGGTCGGGACCCATCTGCGTTTTGTATCCATCCAGGATCTGCACAGTAATAATTTCCTACTTTGCGGGCTGAATATATAATGGACCTCTGCTATCATAATTTTCAGTATCAATACAATCGAGCCCATCAGCCTCAAGTTACCTTAACTTATATTCACCATGCTTCGACTTTCCACCATCGTGTCTCTCCTTGCTGTGGCGGCTTCAGTTACCGCTACACTCGACCCAGCCTCCAGCAATAGCAAGGGATATTACCCGGCTTCTCCAGCATGCTCTCGTATGTCTAAGCCCCATCTGATATTGATTTGCTGAAGGAGTCAAAGAAAGATGCGTTGACACGCCGAACAGCTGCCAAGACCTCCAAGGCTATCCAGGCCGCAGAATGCTCTCATAATACTAGAGTATCCGGCAAGCAGACCTTTGCAGTTTTCAAGGTCGACCACCAGTACGACAAGAATAATGGGGCACCCTATGGAACGTGTCAAGTAATTGAAAAATCTCAAAACATTTCAAGGAGAAACCGCCGCTAATAATTGAACTCGTCAGGCGTACACATGCACCGCCCCTACGCAGGCAGAACTGACTGCTAACTCCGATTATTGGGTTTTCTTCTGGAAGTGAGTTCTCCCCCAGCGGTCATATGGACTAACGAATTATGTATACGTGCATTCTAATCTATGTGTAGTGACAATGGCGCCGAATCTGGCGTTGGGACTGGCTGTATCCGATCACCTGACGATGGAGAATGTGGATGCGAAAACTCGGACGGAACCTTCATCCCTGGAGGAACCAACTGTGTTTAAATGTGCCCAGAATGCTTCTTGTTCTTCCACATTGCATTCATCTATGATTGGTAGTGTCGGAGGTCTGGTTGAGCTGGGCTTATCAGCAACCGATCCTATGAGCTTAAAATAGTGGCCAATATACTACAAGCCATTACCACCACATCTAAACTATGAGCACGCAACTCATACCCATAATATTTGCCTTTTACTCACTACGGGACCCTACCTCTAACCTTGGTCAATGATTGTGCATAAACAAGATCGTGATGGAGGATGAGTTGCGGCCCAGATGTAATTTGGTTCCTGACCGTCGACAACTATTAGAGATCCAAAATTACAAAGGTCAAGATGTTGATCTATTAGAGCTAGCCTTTCGTTCCATATCATAGAACCAACTAGCGGTAACCTTTGGGAAACTTGGCTTGGAGCTACTTATCTCTCGCGTTCAATAACCCGAGCAGCTTAAAGCCCACTTGGCCATCTATAGCCAACCTCGTGATCATGATCACTGACGTAGGGACGATAAGCGCCATGTTCGTCTTTTCGAAATTTGACCCGCTTAGCTAGGGAGCGGTTGCCAATCAGCCGTAGCTGAATTCCTCAGTGTTATTGATTTAGACAGAACGTCAATAGCGATTCAAAGCAGAAAAGTCAAAATACCCCTATAGCGCGCGACAAGAGATTATGACAGTGGTACTGATCTACGATTGGACTGATGGCATTGGAAAGCTAACCTTAAGCTCTGCTTTCAAATTGAGACCAATTCCAGCTAATTATGATGGAGTTGATTGTCTGTTCAATAGATAGTATCATGCTCATGGGAGCTCAGAGTTCTCCCTTCAGAGAAACGTCCCATCTCAAACTATACCGCCTAACGGCCCCAACATATTAAATCTTCAGCGAGTCAATGGCAAATTTTATGAATGGAATGCATTCTACCGTTGGTTCCATCTGATTTGTGGAAGATAAGCTCTAGTGACTGCCATGGGTGTCATGGATAGGAGACACTAAACACATCCTACATTCTTGAGATTCAACATACGCCTGAACTCTAAACCTACAAAAGGTAGCGACGACATCACGTCACGATCTCGATCTCCAGCAATATATTGATCATGGTTTAAGACACAGAGATTAGGTATCCTTCACCCAAATTGCTTATGAGATCCGCCGTCGGGGATCCTTCCTCCAAGGCTAGTCATACAATAACACGGGCTGTGAAGACAAACGACAATCACACAATGATCATGACCATTGCTTCCAGAGCAAATACGAAATATTGTTCATTGAATTGTCTCATAACTGGGATTGCAGGGATGGAAACTCAAGTATCAAGGAAGTAGAGGCTGCTGAACTCATGATTTGATATATCCATTTGGATGCGACGGGCAGCCTTTCTAGGACAGGGCTATTCCAACTTGCCCGTAATCCTAACTTGCCGGGAAACTTCTAATTCACTAAATAGACGAATTGAAATTATTCAACTACTCCTTGCAGCCGTAAGACCCGTCACAGCCAGGTCGGTGCACTGGCCGTCTTCACCGGTAACTGTAACCACTCTCGACCAGCTTAACCGCGTTAACAGTCGCATCATCAATGTTCTCCTCATGCAATCCAAGAACTTCATTGGAGAGCTTGTCCTGGAAATTCCCATCCCCGTTGGGATAGAATGTGCGCGTGTACATGCATATCCCAAATCCCAAGTGAGAGCCGCTCTTCAAGAGCTCGAGGCCCTTCTTGTACCGAGACTCTGATGGCTCATACTTAATCTCCCAGTCCGCATCCTTCGTCCCCAACGCACGGTGCACGCTGTCAAGCATATCTCTCTGGGATGCGAGGAAGCTCGAGATGTAGACCGGCTGGTTACGCCACTGCGAGATGGTCGGCGCCGTGTCGCTCGCGTCGTTGGGCAGCTCCTTCAAACTGAGCAGGCTGGCAATGGCACGGCCGCACTGCTTCAAAGTCGACGTGTTGATGCGTGTCTTGCCATCATCGATCATGGTGACCTTGCGGTTTGGAAAGTCAAAGCCGAACCAGCCCTCTCCCAATGCCAACGAGTGCTCGTACCAGAAAGAGCAAACAAGGGCAATCCAGGAAGAGACACCTGCCCCCTCGATGGCGTCGGTGCTTGCTCTGACGCCGGCTCCAATCAGGTTCTCTTTGGCCAGAGACTCGTTTATGAAATCGGGGCCTGTGCAGTTTGGCATGACCCAGGGGACGCCGGCCTTGGCCGCAGCGGCGATGAGCTTGCCCTGTGTTTCCCGGGGCGCCATGACGGACAAGGTGATGATGAGGAACTGCTGTCCCTTGAGGGCGGAGACGAGCGAGCTCTCGTCGTCGTAATTGACACGGGCGATCTTGATGCCCTCGGGCAGTGTGTTGGTGCTCCCGACGCGGGAGATGGCGGTCACGCTGTGCTTGCCCGTGGCCAGGAGAGCCTTGGCCATGTGACTTCCAACTCCGTCGCCTCCAGCCTGATTAAGAACGATGGTTAGATGATGAAGCTTGCTTTAAAGGGGCATTTTGCCTTTGAGGGAGAGGGTGAAGAGACGAACACCAACGATAGCTACGCGCTCAATTCTATTTGTGAAGCCCAAAGGCTGGTCCTTGGCGTACTTTTGAGGAGCCATGACGAATTGAAGGATAGGTCAATGTTATTTTCAACGATGAAACTGTGAGAAGAAGGGTTGTTCGAGTTGAAGACATTCTGAGCGGTGGTGTCCAAGCACTTTAATATATACACCTCCAGTTTTAGGTTCACTACACTTTGCCGGATGACACACCATCAGTGCTTCATTGATCGATATGACCAGTAGGCCGAGCTGGCAGCGAATAATCTAGACCTCCAGCATCGTGGGCGCATAGAGAGCAGAGCCGTGGCTGCCGGTCGGAGATAGGAAGCTCGCGCGTGGTTGTCTAAGCTTGGTAATTATCTTCTCCGTCCTGGACTTTCTTTAGATTCGCCAGTAGGGCGTACACAAGAGGAAAGCGCCGGACCCGTCTTTCCCCACTGGTGTCGACTGACATTTCGGTCTCGCTCTACCAACTGCTTCAGTTCTTCGGCCATAGAGGTACGGCGATATAAACTCCGGGCCTGCAGAGCCGCAAGCGCCAGCAGTCGCATCAAGCAACCGCCGAATGCGCATTC